GGGCCCCCCGCCTGTCTCTGTCTGCCGAAGGAGGGAAGATGGAGCAGGTACCGCACAGTGCCAGGCGTTTTTTCTTCATAAACAAGGGTATTTGGGGCCAATTGGAGCATGAATAATTCCCGCGGCAGCCAATGGCTGAGCGCTGGCTCCATCGCGGCGCTCGCCTGCAATGGAGGCCAAACCTGCCGAGGGGGAAGGGAGAGGGAGGGCTTAGCGCAGGGCTGGGGCTCCGCTATAAATCCAGACGAGGGGCTGAGCCAGCGCAGAGCTCTGCTTCACCCCAGCCTGCTGCACCGCTGTGCCCCACGCCAGGACCCTGTGCTTGGCCCACACTGCCTGCGCATCCTCGTCCGCCCAATTCCTCACCATGCCCGAGTGCTGGGATGGGGTAGGTACCGCCGGTCCCGTGCTCGCTGCCTTCTCTTCCCTGGGAGTTTTGCCCCAGTACCTCTCCTGCTTGCCCAGGCTGGGCCTTTGCACCCAGCAGGGCTCGGCATGTGTCAGGTAGGCATTGGGGCAGGGGTAACCAGCTGCTGGGGAGCCCTTCTTGCCCCAGACCCACTGCCGCATCCCTGATGTGCTGCAGGTTTCGGGGACGCATTGTCCTTGAGCATGTCCTCCCCGAGCCCGGCAGAGATGCTGCGCTGGGGCTGAGGGTGAGTGGCTGCAGCCCTCGCTGGGTCTGTGTGCTGATGGCACATTGCCCCTTCCCCACCCGCTGTGTTGCAGAGGGAGAGGGTCTCTTGCTGTTTTGAAGCACCCCCTTGGTTGCTTTCTGGCCTCTGCAGTGATGGCAACACCCGATGGCAACAGGCTGGTGCGGAGGGGGTGAGTGAGGTGGGAACACTGCAGCAGTGAGTGAGTAACCTGGACGTGGAGGGGCTCTCTCAGGCACCTATGGGTGCTGTGACCCCCACTCTTTTCCTGGGAGCTGTGGGTGACTGTGTCCTCCTCTTCTTGCTGCCTGCATCCTCTGCATCCCTAGCCTCCCCCTTCCAGCAAGCATCCCTGCGGCAAAGGGCAGGGCCGTGGTACCCAGTGGTGCTGCAGAGGCTGCACCATGGACAGATGTGCCTAGCTTGGCAGTGCAGGGGGCAGGGGTAGCAGTGCTGAGGAAGCAGCTGCCACCTTGGGCATGTGATTTTGGGGTGGGATTGCAGGTTGAGCTGTTGGGGCTGTGATGGGGACTGTGGGCATGGTGATGGCGAGGAGGCAGCTCTGTGCCCAGAATCAGGCCACATGGATGCCTCTGCTCCGTGACCTTGGGCCAGGCCCTTCCTCTCCCTCAGTTTCCCAATCTGTTGTTGCTGGGGGATGTCCCTGATCATTGACTGCTGCCTGATGCAGCCGCAGGGGGTGGAGGAACAGCTGTGGATGAGGGTCAGGGTGCCCTTGGGAGCCAAGTGTCTCCACAGAGCCCTTGAGCTCCTTCGGACACTGTGTTCCCCTGGGGACAGCGGATCTCAGTGAGGGGAGGCACTGCAGTGAGGAGACCCTGTCCTCAGGCAGTTCCTCCCACCCAAGGCCTATGTCCTTCAGAGTCCTTGGTGGCATGTAACCTGCGTGAGCATCATGTACCTGCTCCCCTCCCACCAGTCCATCCATGGGGCTGCCAGCACTAGTAGCAGTGAGGAGTATGATGGCTGAGCACCCTTCCATCATCTCCTGCCTGGCCCTGCTTGGCGCATGATGCTCCTGCACCCACCAGCCTCTAGGTCACTGCCGGTGGGCTGGCTGGCAGGCACGGGCCTTTGGAGGGGCTAATAGCCTCAGGTTCCCTTACTGGTTGGGAACAAGGGCCAGGACAGTGAAGCTGGAGCCCTCCTAGACAGGGAAGTCTTGGTCTCTGTATGGGGGCACAGCCATTTCAGACCAAGGGATTTTAAAGTTACTTTAGCTGTGATTTTGGGATCAGGCTGCAGTGTTTCCTGGGGTAGTGTCTGGATTCTGACCTCCGCCTGTTTGTCCCAGGCACAGCAAATCCCCACCCAGCTGGGCCATGCTGTGAACCCCCATTCTGTTGCCAAAACTCCCTCAGTCTCAGGCCCTTGAAAATCTCCTGTCCTATCCTGTGGTCCACCTGTCCCATCACATGATCCTCCTCTCTCAAGCCCTCTTGGATCCCATCCCATCCCACTTGATCCCATGCTGTGATCCCATTCCATGATACACTGTCCAATCCTATATACTGTGTTCCTATCCCATCTTCCCTTCCCTTCCCTCCCCTTCCCCAGGGGAGCTGACGGAGGCTGGGAGCATCTGTATGTGATTTGTCCTGCTTTCTACAACCTCCATGATGCCCAGGGTTTTATCC